AGAGGAAACTCAAAGACTTTGGCCACCTAATGAGAAGGAAGAAGGACTCCCTGGAGAAGAGCCTCATGCTGGGAACGATGAGGGCAAAAGAAGAAGAAGGGGACGGCAGAGAAGGAGGTGGGTGGATGGAGTCACCGAAGCAGCCGATGTGAGCTTCAATGGACTCTAGAGGATGATAGAGGACAGGAAGGCCTGGAGGAATGTGGTCCATGGGGTTGTGATGGGTTGGACACGACTTCACAAACTAACAACCACATACTCCTTGTAGACAGATGGTAAATTTGCATTCCTCAACAACTCTCTAAAAGAACGCAAATGACCAGCTGGGAAAAAAAGAAACAGAAAGAAACAGAAAGAAAAAAAATCCCTGAAATTAATAGCAAACTATTTTTGCATTTTTGACATATTTTCAATATGTTGTTAAAATTTCCCAGTATCAAACTTAACTCCAAAATAAAGTCCCAGGCCGGGACTTCATAGAGGAAGCCCTGGACTTACAGACGTTTGTTTAGTGACGATCCAAAGTTATAACAACACTGAAAAAAGGGTCGTATGAACAGTTTTCACACTTACGACCGATGTAGCATCCCCACAGTCACATGAGCAAAAAACCTCGGATTTATGACTCGTAAATCCCCTCTTGCCACCTTCTTGCAAGCAAAGTCAGACTCGCTTTACAACAGTTTGACCAATTGATTTGTGATTTGCTTAACACCTGTGGCAAGAAAGGTCGTAAAACGGGACAAACTCATTGAACAAATGTTTTTGGACGCAGTCACGGAAATGTTGGGCTCAATTGTGGTCATAAGTCGAGGACTTCCTGTACGTCCAGGTGCACGTGAAAAGTTTGGAGTGTCTTTATGTGAAGGTTAAATGCTCCATAGTTTTAAGCCACAAGTTCATACTCTGGGATGCAATTAAGAGCAATTTCATTCCCATTTCTCTTGGGTATTAGTTTACTATGGGGTGGCTCATTTCCTGGACAATTTCCCCAACATTTTTGGCTGCTGCATATCATGTTGTGATGAATGATATAAAAAAACAAAATACGAAACCAAATTGCAGGTTTGAAAGCAAATTAGTTACTGGTTTTCTCAGGATGGACTGATTCAGCAGAAAGACAAAAATACAGTAAACTTTTTTTTCTTTTTTTGGAAAATGTACAAAAAAGTACTGAGATCTGCAGATTTTTTTTTAATCCCTAGAAAATGGACCCATTCATTGAAAAAAATAGAGTCTTTCTTTCACTGGAGTTATTTGGGCACTTGGCAACCTTGAAGAGACATAAACTCGGGATGAAGGATAAAGCTGAAAAACCTTTTTCTGGAAAAATATTCCAGATTGCATAATGTGGGGGCTGAGTGGCTAAGACACTGAGCTTGTCAATGAGAAAGGTCGGAAGTTTGGCGGTTCGAATCCCTAGTGCGGCGTAACGGAGTGAGCTCCCGTGACTTGTCCCAGCATCTGCCAACCTAGCAGTTCGCAAGGACGTAAAAAATGCAAGTAGAAAAATAGGAACCACCTTTGGTGGGAAGGGAACAGCGTTTCCGTGCGCCTTCGGCGTTGAGTCATGCCGGCCACATGACCACGGAGATGTCTTCGGACAACGCTGGCTCAACTATTATATAGACGGGACAACCATTTGTCTGAAATGGACTAAGGTCTCCTGCTTGAGCAGGGGGTTGGAGTAGAAGATCTCTGAGGTCCCTTCCAACTCTGTTATTCTGCTAAGTATTGGAATAACTTCCAGATGTGTGCCCTTCAATTCCCTGAATTGTCAAGGAGGCCAGGATGAAATTCTATCCATCTGAAGTTCCCTAGAGATAAATGACAAGTTTCCAGCAATGCAAATACATTGTAAACGTTCAGCTGTCCAAATGCAAAGAATCGGATTTTTATATTTTTGCATCAATCTCAGAGAGCACCAAGGATTCCTCAGTCCTCCTCTTCCTTCTCTCCTTCTAGCACTGATGATGTTCCCTAGTTGGGTCATCAAAGAGCACCAAGGACCTCACAATCCTCCTGTTCACTCCACAAACCCCACTCCCTCCTAGCACTGTTGACGTTACCTAGTTGGTTCATGTAACGTCTGCAAGAAAACCACTAAGCTCAGAGAGCACCAAGGACCCCCACAGTTCAACCACGAGCTACAAATACTCTCCTCTATCAGTTTATCATCGCCTTTTCTCTTGGCCAAATGTGACCATTTTAAAATTATAATTGCTTCAGTTTTATAACTTGCTTTGCAGGTGGTTCGTTAAACATGTGGGGAGAATACTTGAGAGCAGGTTTTTGATTGATAGAGCCAAGGTGGCGCAGTGGTTAAATGCAGCACTGCAGGCTACTGCTAGATCAGCAGGTCAGCGGTTCAAATCTCACCGGCTCAGGGTTGACTCAGCCTTCCATCCTTCCGAGGTGGGTAAAATGAGGACCCAGATTGTTGGGGGCAATATGCTGACTCTCTGTAAACCGCTTAGAGAGGCCTGAAAGGCCTATGAAGCGGTATATAAGTCCACTGCTATTGCTATTGCTATTGCTGGTGCTGGTGGCGGTGAAATCCTACTCTTTTAACTGGGGAGAAAAGGCAATTACTTGGTTTAGGATAAAAACCCCTTGTTACTGTAAGCCCTCCGCTAGCTGGGCTAGTGTTGCTTATCCCTTGTATTATTATTATTATTTTAATCCAGATTTTAGTTAAATTGCCAAAAAAAGGAAGACACAAATTCAGCTTAAAGTTGATGGGACTTTTTTTCCCCACAAAGGACTTTTCATCTTTCAGGCTCCACCAACTGTAACCTTGATCTAAACTGCCTCGGTTGAAAGCCCTCCCATCGCCCAGA